AATTACTCATAGTATACACTATAATACATCTTTACTAACACACAAAAAATGTAAAACCTACAGGATGAAGCAGATAAACGAAGAGTAAGCTTCTACTTAGAACATGGTCGGGGCATAGATTTATTAACAGGATAACCCCCCCCTCACCAAGTTATGGTCTCTCGACCGAGACACCCGATCTCCTGCTGGAATTAAGCCACTGCATTCCCACTGCTTAGTATGGGGGGAGGTACCACTGCATTGCACCTGACGCATTTTCTGAACTAATGCTTCACTTCTACAGAAGATCATAACTAAAATTAAGGTTTAAAGGACACTTCGCGCACCAATACAACTTTAATGCATTTGTTAGGTTTTGGGCCTCAGTAATGTGCTCATTATTTTGTTTTTGGATCATGAAATACATGTTTAGCAGAATGCTGCATTATACCCATGCCTCTCTCATGCCAAAAAAAAGTCTTTATTAAATGTATGCACACAGTCACAGACTAAACAGCACTGTGTGAGTTGCTTTTAAGTCACAACCTTGGTGCAGACAGAGTCACTACAAACAAGACTTCCTGGGTGTCATCTGTTTATAATGCATGTTATTTTGTAGTTCAGTTCACTCAGTGCTGTCAATGGTGGAACTGTGTGCATACATTTGATAAGGAAGTCTGTTTCTGAAGTGAGGAGGTGTGGTTAAGGAGGCAGGCTTACAGTGCAGCATTCTGCAAAATTATTATTTTTTTGTCCAAAATGTATAAAGACTTTGACAGCATATTAATAAGGCTAAAACCTCTCAGAGTGTCCATTTTAATAGACTGATCTTCTTTCCTGACACGTCAAGAGTTAAAATTTATGTTCTAGTACATGAAGAGGATATCCTAGAAGAGGTAGTGAGCAAGAAGACACTAGGATGATGGCTTATGGACTACATTTCCATGATGTTCAGATCAGTTTCAAGATTGCCAGGGCATGATTTTAAATATAGTGGACAAATATCTAAGGGGGAGTTAGTGATAGTACACACTCTACTACAGCTTATCTTCGGTTCTCCCTGCTCTACTACATATGTATTCTGAACGACATTTTATATGCATCTTCACCGGATTAGGACTCTCAGCAATGTAGACAAGAAAACACCCACATTGGCAAGGTTAGCCACTATTGTGCTAGAGCAAGGGGAGAGGGCGACACAGCCTCTAGCTGCATTGTGAAAGGAAGCAAGTTTAGGTGAGAATGTTATTTCAGATTGTTTTGGGAGTCTTTTTGATTGAAACTGTACACTTTACTAAAAGAAGTCAGAAAAAGCTTAGTAGACTTGGTTGCCTGGAGTCAAATCAAAAGAGTTTAGGGTCAGAACAAATTTGCTTCCTTTCACAATGCAGCGAGGGTCAGAATAAAAAATGCCATCTGGATTGGAGAGATCCAGATAAGACCAAGTACAATTAAAAAAATAATTAGCAGATTTAATTATAACTTACTAAGCAGATGTCCACAATAATCTCTGTGGGTGTATTTTGCTGTCAGTATGTGAGAACACCAAGACCTGGGTTCGTCAGCGGAACAAAAATGCTCTAGATATCTGTTATTTTTGCCCTCAGAAAGCTAATTCATGGTTAAAGGGTTACTCCAAGTACCATGGGCATGTTAGTGTTTTGAAGTGGTCATGGTGCTTGGAGTCTGCAAGTGCAGATTTTCAGTGTAACTCTACATCCACCGCCACCATTAAACAGGTTGGTGACAGACTACCAATGGTAACATGCAAGGATAATAACAACAAAAAACTGTTTTATTTAAACATTGTTTTTGGTTTGAGTAGCCCTTTAATAAACAGAAGAATTAGTGACTCCATCCACAACACTAAGAATGCCAACACTGGACAATAAAATATTGAGGAGGACCCTAAAGTGGAACTGTTACTTTTTGGCAATTACACCATTAAATAAAAACATAAAAATCAACTCTAACTTGTATTAACCTTTTTTCTTTCTTTCTTTCTTTCTTTTTTTTTTTACATGATGCTCAGTTTTTATTTAAATGCTTATTAAAGATTTAGGAAATTACATCAAAAGCTAGTTCAGACATGGCAAAGCTCCCTTCTTCTCTGTATGCTCTTTCTATTCTGACTGCCACGTGGAAAGGACAGAACTTAAAGCGGCACTGTCACTGTCTGGGGACTTTTCATAGTTTGCAAAATTTGTGCCATCCTTGCCTGAACCTGTCCCTTACAGGTGTAACCATTATCTTCTGCCAGGAGCTGACTTCACAGTACTCTCGTGCATGTGTGAGAGACCAGCAGAGTCGTCTATGGAGGATCCTGCGAGACAGAGCAAATTCCCTGCAGCTGTTACTGGTGGCGACTGGGGGATTAATACTTCTTAATGGGGGTAGCTGTGCCTAGTGACCAGAATTAGTCAAGTATAGGGAGAATACAGCCAAAAAAATAGTCCCTACTCTGTTTATTAAAGCGGCACTGTTTTTTCCTAACCCCTTCCCACTATCTCTAATTGCACCATAGTCACACCCAAATCCCCTAGTCCCCCCATATTACCTTTTTTTAAATTATTTTATTTTGTGCCCAGACCATGATTGTGTCGGCAGATAAATGCCCCGTGGGACACGTCATCTGCCCACATTAGATAGAGCTATGAAATTCCTGCGCATTCGCTACTGTCCAAAATTTGGAAGGGAATTTCGTCCATTCATTAGTCAGAAAGACAAATTAATAAATCGAAATTTCAAACGAACGAACAATCACCGAATGTCGGTGTCCGTTTGTTCAGTTTATTACAAGGAGGGAGCTACCAGCTCGCAGCTTCCTCCTTGTAATATGAAAAAATAAAAGCGTCAGGGAGCTGTGCTCCCTGCCACTTCCTAAGCCCCCCATGTCCTCCCTCGCTCTATGGTGGTCAATATGAAAAAAACTCAGCTCTAATAAAATGCCCCATTGTGGGGCACATATTCAAATAAATAATGGGGACTATAGTGTCCCCCCCCAAACTCCCACCCGTGCCCCGCGAGTGGGGGCTATTCAACTAAATGGTGACCTAGGGTCGTCGTCCCTGGCCCCCACCCATTAGTGGTGGGTGGGGGCCCAAACAACAATAGGAGGACCTATTTCCCCCCCCAGTCCACACCCATGAGCGGCAGGTGGGGGCCCTAAATGATAAGTGGGGGGAGGACCTACTGCCCTTCCTCCCAGCTCCCACAAATGGGGGTCCTAAGAAAAAAAAATAGGCGGGGATCTATTGTCCCCCCTGGGCCCCACCCATGAGCGTTGGGTGGAAGCCCTAAATGACAAGAGGTTGGGAGGACCTATTGTCCCCACCCGGCCCCCATCCATGAGCGACAGGTGGAGGTCCTAAAAAACAATAGGGGGGAACCCAAGCGGAAAAAAAAAGCTGAGAAAAAGAAAACCTATCTTCACCCAGTGAGGGCACAGCGCAGACTGAGCTCCGAGGACCCCTTTTCTGAGGACCCCTTGTCACCTGTGGGTGGGGGGGTATTTTTTTACATTTAGCCCCCACCCATCGCCTATGGGTGGAGGCTGGAGGGGGCAATAAGTCCTCCCTCCCATTGTCACTTAAAGCCCTCTCCTGCCGCACATGGGTGGGGGCCGGGGGGAACAATAGTTCCTACCCCCTCTTGTCATTTAGGGCCCCCAGATGCCGCTCAAGGGTAGGGGGGATAATAGGTCCTCCCCCTCTTGCCATTTAGGGCCCCACCCGCCACTCATGAGTGGGGGGGCCGGGGGGACGGGACATGAGGGTCCCCCCACTCTTGCCCTCACCTGCTGCTCATGGGTGGGGGCCCGGTGGGGGGGACAATAGGTCCCCCCCTTGTCATTTAGGACACCCACACACCGCTCATGGTTGAAGGCCGGGGGCATGAGACAATAAATCCCCCTCTATTGTTTTTAGGTCCCCATCCCGCCGCTTATGTCCCAGTTTAGTTGAATAGCCCCCACTCACGGGGCATGGGTGAGGGCTCGGTGGTAGTTAATAGATGCCCCACCATGGGGGTTATTTATTGGAAGAAAGGTTGGTAGGGCTTTTTTTGTCTACAACAGGGAGTAGCCTCAGGCTGTTTAGTAGACATGCCCCTACTTGTGGCATAGCGAGTAGGGGAAGTCTCCCTCAATTACTAATACCAAGTAAAGTCTACTTAGTATTATTAAAGTTGGCTGAAAGACCAATTATGGTCTTTCAGCCTTTTGGTAGATAGCTCCTAATACTGTGGGAATTAGGGAGCTATCTACTAAGCGGCTGCAAGATGCAGCCATGGCATGGATCGGAATTTCATTAATTTGAATGAAATTTCGAACCGAACTAAGAGTGTCAAATGTCATCCTAACACAAATGAACAAACTGTTTCCATTCTGTTAGGACGAATTCGGTAGTTTTGCCGGTGTTCTGCCTAAATGACATGAAGTTCGGGAATACTGAAAGCAGAGAGGGCGAGTAATGTGGGGAAATGACTCTGACCCACAGGACGAAGGTAAGAGAGGTCAAGCATAGGAAATATACCTAAGACAAAGTAGTCCATACTTTGTCTTATGTTTTAAGAAAAACTAGAGCAGATAGACAGAAAAGGAGAACAGATCCCAAGAGAGATAAGAGGAATCGATTTGGGAAAGGCAAGTTCAGCATGACAGTGCCGCTTTAAATCTTTTGACTGGGTTGGAATTAATATCAGAGAGTTAATATAAGAATTTCATAAAGATTCTATCTTTGTGAAATATTCACTGTGGAGGGGGGAGGAATTTGAGATCCGCTTTAAGGGATAACAGTCAAGTCAAAACTATTTTAGAATATAATATTCCTTTCAAATTTTGAAAGGAAATAGATTTGTTTTGAAATGAAGCCATTATCTCCCACTACAACCCCTATTCATAGTGATGTCCCGAACGGTTCGCCGAACGGTTCGCCACGAACGGTTCGCCACGAACGGTTCGCCGAACGGTTCGCTGCGGACTCATCATTGAGTAAACTTTGACCCTGTACCTCACAGTCAGCAGACACATTCCAGCCAATCAGCAGCAGACCCTCCCTCCCAGACCCTCCCACCTCCTGGACAGCTCACTAAGAATGCAGCTTCAAAATGGATGCTGTCCAGGAGGTGGGAGGGTCTGGGAGGGAGGGTCTGCTGCTGCTGCACCCACTACAGCCCCAATCCCACTTTGAACCCACTACAGCAATTATCCCCCACAACAACTCCTATCCTTCCCATCCTACCCTGTCTGCACCCACAACAACCCCTATCCATCTATGCACCCACTACAGCCTCTATCCCACCCTGCACCCACTACAGTCCTTATCCCCCACAATAGCCCCTATTCCTCCCTGTACCCACAACAGCCCCTATCCCACTCTGAACCCATTACATCAATTATCCCCCACAACAACCCCTATCCTTCCCATCCTTCCCTGCACCCACAACAACCCCTATCCATCCCTGCACCCATAGAGCCTCTATCCCATCCTGCACCCACTACAGTCCCTATCCAACCCTGCACCCACTACAGCCCTTACCCCACTCTGAACGCTCTACAGCCCCTATCCTATTCTGAACCCACTACAGCCCCTGTCCCACTCTGAACCCACTACAACCCATATTATTCCCTGATTCCATAACAGACAGATTCCTCCCCTGAACCTACCATAGCCTCTATCCCTTTTGTGATCACTACGACCCCCATCCCTCCCCTGCACCTACTACAGCCCCTATTACTCCTGTAATTACTATAGCCTATACCCACCCTGTAACCACTACAGCCATTACACCCCATGCACCCACTAAATTCATCTCCTGCACTCACAACAGCGCCTTTCTGTCCCTGCACCCACTACCTACTCTATCCCCCACCAACATCTACTACAGTCCCCATCCCTTGCCTGCCTCCACTATTCCTAATGCACTTGCGTTGATAGGGTTCCAATTGGCTACATTTGCTGAAATTGCTACTAAAATAGTTTCTAACACTAGAAAATGTAAAAAGTGGTCCCGCATTTTATCTTGCACCTAGTCCCACAAAACTAGAGCCAAACAAACAATAAGGTTGTAACATGCATTGATGTATCTTACATGAGGGTTAATCTATATTACACTGTTGCAAAGGGGAGGGTTTATATAAATATTACAACAATAATTGATGTGTTTTTAAATAAATCAAATGTACAAACAGTTCCAACTGCAAAGAAACAAATATTGATGGTCGCAAATGTGTAAACTGCAAATTATGTCACCAGATTGGATCCTCTGCAGTAAACAAAACACATTTCATTTCAGAAAAGAATTTGACTTTAAGCTTGGCAGGCGTGATATAAAAAAAAACACGCATTCAGAACATGTTAGCCCTTAGCTGGGTGCGGCTTGGCTTTCATTACCATCCAGTAAACAAGCTGAGATTTGGCCGGATATCTATGGCTTCCTATAGAGAAGGCAAAATTAAAAAAGATTTTGCAAAAAAAAAAAATCCTATTTCTGATAATGTGCCAATTCTTTTTTATCAGTGTTTGAAACATTTAGTTTCCTTTTGCCTGCATGATAGAAGAGAGTGTTTTATGGGTGAATCACAGGATAAGATTTATATGGCATAACTCCAAGCCTTGATATCAAGCTAGCTTGGAAGAATAGGCGTAAGATGATGCTTTATAATGAAACATTGAAAGTACCCCACTTCTAAAGTGGTATAGTTGCTATGGCTAAATTAGGATTAATTTAATATCAAGAAATTAACTATAAAAGGAACTTCTTCAGAATGGTGGTGTTATAGTGCAAAGAGGTCACAGGCCGACCAACTTACCTCAATGGGTTAAACTGTTTTAGTCCAGCACCCATCAGCTCTGCCTCTGAACTTCTGTTCAAGAGTGAGGCTTTAATCAAGAAGTCTCAGATTGGGCTCCAATGATAAGACACCACCCGGGACATCCTCACACCAGAACAACGTCATTCTAATTAAGTTATGGTGCCCAGGGTGTTCATTTAACTAATAATAATTATAGAGTTCACAATATTAAAAAAACACTCCAAGCACAATAACCATTACTGCATGCTGTGGGGATTATAGTGCCCACCTCTCCGCCATTGTAAGTAGTCAAAACATTTTAGAACAGTCTGACTTCTTACCTGGGGTCTGCAGCGCATCTTACACAGGCTCCTCCCAGCAGCCAGGAGGTGGGAAAACATACTAAACAGCCATGGAGGCACAATATCTGCTGCAGGCCTGTATTTTAGTGGCAAGTGGAGATTTGAATAACTGACAGCCTAAACTGTTTAAACTATATGCTTCAATACTACATATGCCATTCGTCATCACCAGTTTGGGAAAGTTTATAACAGACACCGGACATGGTGGTATACATCTTGATAAAGTGTCAGCAGACACTCATGTGGTTTGAAGCTTACCACTTTATGTCAAGTGTGGTTTCAATCATTTTTTCATTATTTGGAATAGAAACACAGAATGTGACGGCAGGTAAGAACCGTTCGGCCCATCTAGCCTGCCCAATTTTCAAAATACTTTCATTAGTCCCTGGCCTTATCATATAGTTAGTATAGCTTTATGCCCATCCCACGCATGCTTAAACCCCTTTAACTCTACCACTTCAACTGGAAGGCTATTCCATGCATCCACTACCCTCTCAGTAAAGTAATACTTCCTGATATTATTTTTAAACCTTTGCCCCTCTAATTTAAGACTATGTCCTCTTGTTGAGGTAGTTATTCTTATTTTAAACAAACTCACTTCCTTTACTGTGTTGATTCCCTTTATGTATATGTTAATGTTTCTACCATGTCCTACCTGGCTCATCTTTCCTCCAATTAAGATTTTTTCATTAATATTGAACGAGTTGTGGATGATATATCGTAAAAAACTTTTTTCTTATTTCATGATCATATTTACATTCTGGATAGACTATCCGGGGGGATTCACAATTTGGATGTGATTACCATGGCAGTGGAACATCATGGTAGGTCCGAGCTGTTTTGGGAACTTAGATCTTACTAACCGAGTATGTATGAAAAAGGTATTACTATTTTTACTTCTATTTTTTTTTTTTGATGGGGGGTGGATACTAAGGAATGCCCAGGAAGTTACCTTATGTAAGTGCTTTTTACTGGGTTTTCAGGGAAAGCGGCTTTGCTCTAACTTGGCCTCATGTATCCAGTGGACCGCTGTCATCCCCTTAGGGAGAAAGTTAGGCCAACACCTGATCACTAAAGGTGGTATCCAGGGAGGCAACTCTTACATATATGTGTTTTACATTGCACAGTTAAGGGGACAGGGACACTGCACCTAGACCACATCAATCAGATAAAGTGGTCTTGGTGACTATAGTGTCCCTTTAATTGTTAAAATATTGTAAAGGCCTGACAAATAAATCCTTTACATTTTATGCCCCTCTATATAAACCTTATTTTCTCTAAATGCCCCTCTGTCTAAGAAAGTGAAAATATTACTGGCCTGCCTTTCCTCTCATGACTGCGGAAGCAGTTTTAGGGTAAAGCACTTGCAATCTGATTCAGACAGTTCAATACAGGCCAATGTACACGGAACACCCACATAAATTTATATGTTGGCTTTAAAATTAAAAAAGCAAAATAAAAAAAAGTTTCAGTGGAATACGTGTAAAAGAATTATATTATCTTTTTATGATACACTTCAAAACCATTAAACATCCATTTCTCACTCGATAAATCGTTAGAATTTCAAAAAACAAACACTAAAACTGTGCAAGTTGTTCTTTGCTTTACTCCAATATTTGTCATAGGTCATAACTAATAATGACTTATCTTGTTAAACTACTCAAGCAAATAGCACATCTCACAATATTGTAAAACTAGAACACAAAATGGCCGATCACTGACAATGCACATTACACAACAGAAAGAAAGGGGTATGAACACCTGGAGAGTATGTGTGAAGGGTCGACAGGTTGTCCTGCTGGCTACTTAACCATATGGACATTTAATATAAGCTCAGTTAATGACATACTCACACTACAAGTTTGACAAACTTGACATGCAATATAAAATGGCAGCTGGACAATGGTCCAAAATCAAGACTGTTCCATGAAATCATTATCTTTGGCATATATTTGACATCCCTATCCTATTACTAGTATTCTGCAGAATATATGCCTTGTGCCAGCAAAATTTCCACTACATAAATAAAAAAAAAGCCAAACTTCTCTGATCATCACTTATGTCTCCTCCAAAATGGCTGTCAGAAATGACTAAGTGACTGCATACAGAGACTTCTCAATATCATATGACAAGCACATATCTGACAACGCATTGTAATCACTACATTCACTGTGGGAAACTGCGTGGAGACATGCAATGCTATTGCTCATTTCCACAATCCATGGTGCCATGGCCTAGGGGGTTATATGGCTGGGCTTGCAGACCCAAGCCCACCTTCCCAATAATAATGGATTAGAGCAGTGTTCTACAACCTTTTATCACCCGAGGCAAGGCAAAAAGAGGGGCAGTGTGTGTATGTAAAGGGGAGAATTATTGTGGGTCTGTGGTGTTGAAGGGTAGATTAATACATTGTAAAAATGTAATTAATAAAAATAATAATTTTGATATCCCCCCTCCCTGCTTAACTTTGCCTGAGAGAGGGGACAGTACTAATCCTTGCGAGTACTTGGGGAAGCCCTGGCAGTCCAAGTGGTGAGAGTGAACCCTAGCAGCTCAGGCTGGAGTTCACTCTCGAGAGATTAGGAGCGTTGATGTGGTAACCGCAGCAACGCTCCGAGCTCGCGAGAGAAGAACCCGGCAGAGCTGCAGGTTACAGCTCCCCTGGGTCCTCTCTCCCTCCCTCGTCTGCCAGCATTATACTGCTAGCAAGCCAGAGAGGGAGATCTCTGATCTCCCCTCCGGTCCTGCAGAGCCGGCAGGGGAGAGGGAGTCACAGTTCCCGGTGCTAATATCATATGATCATAGCACCAGGGAAATATTTTGTGGCAATTTATTGCCAGTCTGCGAAAGCTTTCACCCGATGGTATAGTTGGGTGAAAGCTTTCGCAGACCGGCGCCGGTCAGCGGAACACCAATTGAAGACCGGTGTACTAGAGGATGTAGCATCCCCCAATATATATTCTTGGATACTACTGGCAAACAAAACATTTTGTTTCAGCAGAACAGTCAAAAAGGAA